AAAAAAAAAAAAAAAAAAAAAAAAAAAAAAAAAAAAAAAAAGCCAAGGAAAAAAAACAACACAGCAAACCAAAGTAAAGGGCTGTCAGGAGAGGAGGCTGTGCTCCCTGCAAAGCACCGAGCCAGTGGCCGCCTAGAGGTCTGCCCTCCGGGCTAGCAAATCAAGGACTTGGGCCTTTCCTTTCACCCACGTGCACCCTCTGACTTCAGCTTCTCTTCCAAAGACGTGTGCTGCTGCCGGGGAAGGTGGGCAGGGTGAATTAGAGCTGTTGTATGGTATCCCAGAGGGCCTCCCTGGAACAAGAGAGAACATGCTGCGGGAGGCATCTCTGCTCCCTGAGATTGTTCGTAACGCTATTTTTTTTTTTCTCCCTTTAACTACATACCTCAGAGCAAAGAGAAGTCCAGGCTGAGGAAAAGGCTGAATTGGCAATGTCTTTCTCATTCACATGCCTTTGTTTCTGTCATGAATCCACTCTGGGCCGTATTACTGGGGTGACAGCATTGACCCCAGCTGTGCCTTAGGTCCAGCCATACAACCCCCACATCCCCAATCTTTGTAATATGTGTAATTTTGTAGCCTTTTGACTGTATACAGGCACTTTGGAAGGCACGAGTTGGAGATAACCTCCTTCCAAACTAACGGTTAATCCAGTTTCTCAAGAGATGGCCAGTGCCCAGTCGCCACCCTCTTCCTGCATCTGCAGTGGGGAAGTGCTGCAAGCTCAGAGAAACCCTTAGTTGGTCAAGGGACAAGGACTTGGCGTTCATCAGCCCGTCCTGTTTTATCTGCATTGCAAATCTGCTCTCGTAAAAGATCATTGCCCTCAGAGCCCTCCTCAGGTTTTGTAGCCGGGCACCAGCCATTTCATTTAGACTTAAAATAAAAGGACAAAAGCAGCTCAGGCTCCCATGTGATCAAACCATAAAATCTGGCCCTGAGAAGCCCCTGTTATGGTTAGGGCTCATCTGAGCTGCCAGCACCAGGTGTCTTTCCCACCATAACAGGCTGAGGCGCACGCACATCTGACTCGATGGAAATCACACAAGCAGTATCAGAGGCAGAGGTGCTATTTCACAGCTAGCGCAGGGTGTCCTTCACTCTACCGGTGCCGTCTCTCAGTGTGAGGGATGAAGCATGACCTGGTGGGTCCCTCACTCCCTGATGAGCGGTGTGGTCGAGGTTCAGAGGAACGTAGTGGGGGCTCGGGGGCCTCTGCAGAGTTTCTCTGTGCTGGCTAATACTTTATTTGGGAACGGCTCATCTGTGAATCGTGAGCAGCAGAGAGCTGAAAATCCTATCGGTCTGGCTGCCAGCAGAGGGACCTAAGATGCACAGGCACAGCCAAAGACATGGTGATCCTGAGGGACTGGGATTTGCTCACTGTTTTGTCACACCAGCTCCACAATCAGCGGGGTTACTGGGTGGAAGGCCAGCGCGGCAGCGTGAGAGTCTGTCCTGCCAGCACTGCTGAGCTCTCTAAATGGAGCTTTTTTGTGCAGAGGACTAAGCAGCGTTGGCTGCTGTATTTTTTTCGGCTCCTTTATACAAATTTAGACTCCTTCCTTGTTTTGAATTGGACTTTTTTGTACAGTAACCACCTGGTATTTATTGGGAGCTCTCTGCCTTGAGTCTCTGAGCTGTTGATGGAGGCAATGTATGATGGCAACTGGCCAGCCATGTCCCCATTTCATCCGGTCTGCATATGACACCTTGCTGCCTGTGGTCCCAGTTTCAGCAGTTACTGTGTAAAATTGTTTAAGCTCTAATAGAAGGTTTCATCTCCCTGCCTTTATCTCAGCACAGAAAAAAACAGTCAGTTGCACCTGCTGCTTTGGGAGGCTGGTTGCAAACTGTGGTATTAAATTTCAGCATAGCCAGTGCAAAACTAGAGCTGGGACTGGATCCAGACTTCAGCGGCCAGGAGCTGCTTGCTAGGGAAGGAGAAAATTCTAATCCGGTGATCTCCGCTGCAAGGAGATACGTAAGTAAAGTGAGAGCCTCCACCCTGACTGAGGAAACCGCTGTGATTGTTAGTGCCTGCCACAGCCTCCTGATTTACCATTCAGTTTGCAGAGACAATCGTGGCTTTCTGATGAGGGTTATGTCTTTCACAGTCAGCCTCCCCGGGGCTAGAGGAAAAAGGAGAATTTATGCAGGTAAGCAGACATCCACATGATACCCAGACTGGGCTGTGGACCGAGAGTCCTGTCAAAGCTGTTCCTAGTACGTAATGCAGCACAATATAACGCAGAGCAGCGGAGGCAGACCTTTTGCTGACAGAGCAAGGCAACTTTGGGACTGTGTCACTCTTCTCATATGGTTTACGTGCAAAACAATCACCTTCTGGCTGAAGGGGACTTGTAAATGTTGCATAGGACATGCAGGGGATAATACAGCTGTTGGTGAACTTGCGCCAGATAGAAGTATTTCAGTGGTTTGACAAGATCAGCAGTTGAAACATATCAGCTGGTAGTGATGTCTGTCCTACATCACTCCTGATTTTGTAAAATAATTTTTTTTTTTTTAAATAAAAAGAGAATATTGGGATGACCGATGCCTTGCCAGTCTGCTAACTGATCAAAGGAGTTTATAACCGGACGCGTACGTTACTCCCGGACCTCCTACAGCGGGAGGATGGTCTGTGGGAGGACGGCTCCGAGACGACAGCGCTTTTCACGCGGTATCCAGGTTTGGAAAACAATCGAATTCCCAAACTTTGGAACCTGTCAGGGATGTTTTA